CAGCAGAGCCTGGACTAGAAGCTAGAGTTTCCAATTCCTGGTTTCCTGCTCCTTGGACCAGGTGAAGTGGGTGATTAGTGAGGAGAACAGCAAATGAATTCTGAGAGGTAAGTGCCAGGAATTTTGCTGAGTCCTTCGCACCCATCAGCTCCTTAGTTCCCCCTCTGAGGACAGGTGCTATTGTCCTCCCTCTGAGGGCAGGTGCTATTGTCCTCCCTCTTTACAAATGGGGACCCTGGGGCGAGAGAGGTTAAGTGACTTGACCAGAGGTAGTTGGCAATAAACACAGATCTGTGACACAAACACAGGCATTCGGCTTCAGATACACCGTTCCCTGTTAGCTGAGAAAATAAGTGAGCACAGCACTGGGGTTTTGTGAAGAAAGAACATTAGCTGAATAGAAGCCTATTTCCCCCTCTGGGATAAACCAGTTGTCAGAGCTCCAGCCAGGGGGGCAAATCTAGACCCATCTTCAACACTAGATGGCGCACCTCAGGTTCTGAACACCCACCTGTGGAGAAAGCTTTGGGGACTACCCACTCCCCACTCTGATCTCAAGCTGTAATAGTCACCTCTATTTTATTTTTTAAAGACAGATGGTATCCTGTGTAAGCTATTCCCAGTCTTTGGCTCTGGGGATCCTTGACTGTGTAGGAGGGTAATCACCAAGAAGAAAGCTGATTCTCAGGAGAATTGTTAGAAAGGACACTCTTAGCTCCCACTTGGCTGTTTTGTGCGGCAGGGAGGCTTTGCTCTTTTCAGCTGGCATTTCAAAGTACATTAAGAACAATTAACATGAGTTGCTTGTGAGCACATAGGATCAGGCAACCTTTAGACAAATACACCTTCTCTCAGGTGACAAGGGAGTACTGTTTTTTTCCCTTAAAAAATGTAACTTTATGCTACTTATGGTTTTATAGTAGCTTTTTGAATATAGCCACTTCAGGTCTATCTAGACTAAGACTTTAGACTGATAGAAACACTTGGCTGTATCTGGTCCACAAACAGATTTTGCGTTGGCCTCCCACAGGGTTTAATTTATTTTTAAACATTAGTTTCCAATGAGCAAAAATTAGGAAGAATTCAAAACAAAACCTAGATTTCCTGATTCTCCTAAAGAGTAGGATTATCAGGCAACACTGGACCTTCATTGCCAATAGCAATGCTTTGCTGAAGCTGAGCAGGCTCCTTCAGGCTGTCCCCAGTCCACAGGGACCCAGCCCTCCCTGTTGCTGGGCTTCAGCCTGGCCTCTGTCAGCCTCTGAGTTTAACTCCCTGGTAGAGGCGATTAAGAAGTCTTCCAAAAGGTCCAAAATAAACACCTGATTTCAGGCCAATCCAGGAGAGCTTTTAAAATTCAAATATAAAATGTTTTGAAGCAAGCTGGAATGTTGAGCCCGGGCACCAGACATATTTGCTGACTGGGGACTTCTGTGCCCTCCTCTCCTCTGGCTCCTTCCTTAGGACTCTTTCCAATTCAATTCTCTGCCTGCTGATCTCTTCTGAAGGGACCACCATCACACCCTGTTCAGCACTTACTTCCTTTAATCGTTTCTGCGTCTGGAGGGCAGAGGCATTCTTTTTTTTTTTTTTTTTTTTTTTTTTTTTTTTTTGAGACAGAGCCTCAAGCTGTCCCCCTGGGTAGAGTGCCGTGGCATTACAGCTCACAGCAACCTCCAACTCCTGGGCTCAAGCGAGTCTCCTGCCTCCGCCTCCCAAGTAGCTGGGACCACAGACGCCCGCCACAACGCCCGGCTATTTTTTGGTTGCAGCCATCATTGTTGTTTGGCGGGTCCGGGTTGGGGATTCGAACCCGCCACCTTAGGTGTACGTGGCTGGCGCCTTAGCCGGTTGAGCTATAAGCGCCGAGCCCAGAGGCATTCTTTTAATTGTTCTTTTCTCTCCCTACCCAACACTTAGCAGAGTTCTTTGCTTATCAGAGATGTTCCACAAATGTAGAAATTAAAAATAATGCTATGCTGGGATTCAGCTATCACACATCTGGGGCGATGATGCAAGTCAGGAATTGAAAGATCCCCCAGAAGGACGCAGGGTGCCTAGATGGTTAGAAGAAGGGGTTGGTGGGACTGAAAGAACTGAGAACAGAGAAGGGATAATTGAGTCTAGGGCTTCAAGGATGGAGACCCAGGCAGAGGCCTCCAGAAGTGTGGTTTTGGAGAAGGCACTGGGCAGCTTGGTGGGGTCAGAGAGCTCCAAAGCAGACTGAAATGGACCTACTGGAAGATTCCTTGTCTCTCCTCTTTTTCTACCCCTCTATGTTCAAGTCTTCAGAGAATTCCATTTTATCTACTTTCAAGCTGCTCCCAGACTCCATCTACTTCTCACAACCTGCATATCCACCACCCTAGCTCAAGCCATGATTGTCTCTCCCCTGTATACCTGCAAGAACCTCCTACAGCAATCTGTGTCCCTTAGTTTTCACTCCTGTTTCCTATTTCCTCCGCAGCAACCCGAGGAATTTCGACTGCTCCTTGTCTAGAAGGTCCTTCCCATTTGACCTCCTTGCCTCTCTAGTCACATTCCTCTCTATCCTTCTCTTTCACATGATTTCAGACACACAAACACATCTTTCATTTCCTGACCATGTTAAGGGGCTTTGCATTTGCTGTTTCCTAAGCTTAGAATGCTTTTCTTCCAGAAATCTCCGAGGCCTCCCTTCTAATCAGGCCTCTGCTCAAATGTCAGTCCCTCTGAGAGGTATTTAAATTTTTTTTCTAGCTTCTGTCATGAACAGAAAGAGAGATTTTTTATGACTACCTCATGTAGACAAGAATCTGTCTGCCCTTACCGACACACTATTCCTTTACCCTACTTTTCCTCAGAACACATTACATTATGTTGTATATCTGTTTCATTGTCTGTGTCTCCCACTCGAATGGAAGCTCCATGAAAGCAGAGACTTTCTTGACATGTACGAGATGCTCCATAAGTGAAGGTGTCTAGAAAATCAGAACTGAGAGATGGCGAGAGTTGCAGTGGTTTCTGGGGGGAAAGAAGTAACATTTATCACACAGGAAGGGATTCCTAATACAGTATTTTGAATATGTGATCCATATTCAATGTAAGTATTATAATGCAATTACAGCTCGGCGCCTGTGGCTCAAGTGGCTAAGGTGCCAGCCACATATACCTAAGGTGGCGGGTTTGAATCCAGCCCCGGCCCGCCAAACAACAATGATGGCTGCAACCAAAAAATAGCTGGGTGTTGTGGCGGGCGCCTGTGGTCCCAGCTACTTGGGAGGCTGAGGCAGGAGACTTGCTTGAGCCCAGGAGTTGGAGGTTGCTGTGAGCTGTGATGCTACGGTACTCTACCCAGGAGGACAGCTTGAGGCTCTTTTTAAAAAAAAATAAAATGCAATTACTATATACAGATAACAATGCCAAGAGTAGTTTGGGATAAAGGCTAATGAAGAGGAAGACCCTGCTCTAAAGGAATCAGAGTCAAGGGAGAGGAAGGAGGGCAAGTAAGACCTTTCAGTTATCTTGGTAGCCCCCACTGCATGTTCTCATAGCCCTGCAGATGGTTTGTAAATAAACTATCAGTATATTATTTAACTGAACCATTTTGCTGCTACACTGTCTCATAGAGTGACAGACACCTTACAAACCTGTAGCTCCTTTCTGAGTTCTGAACTCTCTCCCTGGTTCCCAGCCTCCTGTGTAACTAACTCCCCTCTCATGCATCCTCCACACCTAGGCTGGAGGCATCTTTCTACAATGGGCATCTGATAACCATATTCTCCTATGCCAAGGGCTTCCCTGTGGCCCTGGGCTTAACCCTGAACCCCTTAATATACCAGAGCCCCCTGGTTTGGGCACCTGATTTCTTCTCAGCTTACTTCCTAACACTTCTTTCTTACAGACAGTTGGGTCCCACAGAGATTCCTGGTCCTGGAAGTGTGCTATTCTTTCCTTTCTCCAGGCCGAAAACGGTGCTGTTTCCAGGGTCTGAGATTCCTTACCTCCCTCCTCTCTCTTCCCCTGGAACCTCGCTCTGCTTCTTGGAATTCTACCTCATTTTCATTACCCTCAAAAGGCCTTCCAGGCACTTGCCCTGACCAAGCGCCCCTTTCCTTCCCCCACCCCCTTACCACCCTGGGCAGGAGCCTCGCTGTGCTTCCTTAACACTGTACTTTCCTGTCATGCCTGTTGTGGCCTTGTGTCCTGACTGCAGTGCAAGCTCTGCCAGGGCAGGATGGTCTCATTCTCCTGTCACCTTGTGACCATGTCTACCCACAGTGTGTTGAGTAACTATGAATGAAAAAGCACTGGCTTCGGTAAAAACATGGTATGATTTTTTTAAAAAAGCACTTGCTTGATAGTATTGTTGATCATAAAATAATAGTAACTTGTATTTACTGACTTCTTATGTTATCAGGCACTGTTCTAAACGTTTCACAAGTATGTCGGGGACATCTCAAATAATTCTATTAAGTAGAGGTTATTACCCCATGTAGCGGATGGGGAAACTGAGGCGTGGAGAGCTTAAATAGCTTGGCTAAGGTCCACAGCTAAGAAGTGGAGGAACAGGGGTTGTTAGGACGCAGGCTGTTTCTAGAGTCCAAAATCTACCCAAGAATCAAGTGCCGCATGGGGTTCCTTTACATCAACAGCTTCAAGCCTCTGGCAAAGGGCTTTCTTTTTGTTCTCCGAGAAAGGACTAGCTACTGTGCGGTCCCGCTTCACTCGTGGGTCCTTGGCTGGGCTCGGAGAAGGGCCTGCCCATCTCACCAGCCGCCCCGGAGTCTGCGTGTGAACCCCTGATTAACTTTCCAGGCTGTCCGGACTATATGCCAGCTCCGCCTAGGACCCCCGGTACCGCCTGTCCCCCATGTGCCCCCACCAGGTCCCCGGCCCGGCCCCCAGAGTCTGGGGGCGGTGGGAGGGGGCGGGGCAGGGGGCGGGGCGCTCTCGGAGGCCGCCGCCCTCGCCCCGCACTCGCCGCGCCCGGTGCCGCGAGCCGGGCTGGAGCCGGAGGGGCGGGGAATCGGGAGGGGCCGGAGCGCGGCTGCTGGTGCCGTTGCGAGGGGAGAGACGAGGAGGAAGCGGCGCGTCCTCTGAGGCGTGTGCGGGGAGCCACGGGCGGACGGACGGGCGGGCGCGCGGAGGGAGCGGGCGGACTGCGAGGTCAGGGTCCGGCGGGGGCGCGGGCGGCGCCAGGGAGGGGGAGGCGGCGGCGAGGGGAGCCGGCCGTCCGGAGGAGGGGCCCGGGAGGGGCGGCGCGGGCCGGGCGCCGGCTGCGCTGGGGGTCGGGCCCGAGACCCCTCCCCTGGCCGGTCGGGCGCGCGGGGAGCGCGCTCTGGCAGCGGAAAGCGGAGCCCGCGGCTCCCTTCTTCCCAGGTCCCTTTTCTTTGCAATCAGCGAAAAATAAACACCCGGGAAGGTAAAACAATAGCGGGGCCACCTGGGACGCGGCGCGCGCAGAGCTCCCACGGCTGGGGCGGGGGCTGGCGGTGTAACCCCGCAGTCGCGGCCCCACCTTGGAGCCTCTTCCCGGTTTGCCCCGGAGGAGGGTGGGGCTCCCCGCGGCCCCGGGGCTCTGTAGGAGTCGACGGGATTCCCGGGAGAGAAGCGTTTGGGGAAAGTATTTCAGGAACAATCGGGCTTTCCAGTATTGCCCTGCTCTGGGCATGGAAACTGAGGCGGAGGCAAAGGTAGTGACTTGCCCAAGGTCAGAATGCAGAGGTTGACAGTCCTGCTCCAGGACCCAGACCCAGGGGTCCGGACCAGCTCAGCACTGAGCAGATCTGGGCTTTGCGGCTGTTTTGTTTGCCTCTGATAAATCTCTGTTGTGTTTGTTTTAGGGATCTGCTGGCACTGTGGGACTGCTTCAGAGATGCCCAACGCCAACTTGCTTCATGTGTCCTGGGCAGGTGTGGGGGAGCTGACGCCTCCATGACCTACCACCATGGATGGAGACGGACTTTTTGAGGAAGAAACCAAAACAGTTGGTGCCAGCCAGGGCGGTTTGGCTGTCAGAGGGTTTGCCGAAACCTTGTCTGTTCCTTTTGGGGAATCTGAATGAGGGACATCACAGACACCTTCACTGGGAAGCCAAGGACATTTCTGTATAATCAGCGGATGAAAGGATTCTCTCAGGCTCTTTTTTCCTTTTTTCCTTGAGGATTAACCCACCACAGTCTGCAAATGCAGTGGGAGCTGAAAGGCACGCGATGAGGCAGAAGCCTAGAGCGCCTTCAGAACGGCTCTGGACCTTTCTTGTGCTGTAGGGGAGTTTTAACACCAGCCACCACGCCTCCTCCCTCCTCAACTCTCTCCTTTATCTCTTTTCTTTAATTTGTTCCCATTTTCTGAGTTAAGTACTATTTCCAAAACTGTTCTCTGGAGCTATAAGTGGTTTGCCAGATATATGAGATTAGGAGCTGGGAGAAGAGGAAGCCCCCGTGCTGTGTGTCCTGGAGGCTGCCGACATGAAGTGCTTTTTCTCAGTGCTGAGCTGTCTGGCGGTGCTGGGTAAGTGCCTCTGCTTATCAGTGCGATCGATCATGGGAAAGTTTAACCTGCTCTTGGTTCCTGTAATTCCTTGTGGTTCTTACCAGTCAACACTAGGCTTTGGGGCACACCAGAAGGCAGGTGGTGTGTCATAGGTTGGCCAGTGGGCCCATTTCCAAAGTGGAAGAAGGTTTGCTGTGCTGAATGTGCCTGTCTTGGCCTTGGGATGGAGTTCGCATCTGCATATCCGAGGACTTCATGTGCATTGTGGGCTGGTTCGTTTACTGTAACAAACATGGATGCACCAGTGTTTTCACTCTGTGTCGGCCTGCATTAGTTCCTTACTGGAAGTGGTGATGTAATTCCCACTGTGTTGGTGAAGTTGATTTGGTGATAAAGGTGGTGTCTTTTTTTTTTTCCAGGTGGAAGTAGGAGTGAGGGGAATGGACATTGCAGGGATGCTTTGCTCTACCTAAGTGGTCTGTAGACTAAAAATGTTTGAGGGCACTACTCATATCTTTTCTCAACAAAGAAGCTCAGACATGTTTCTGAGAGGAGTAGAAACTGGAGAAACTGAAGCTGCCTGGTAGGGGAAGTGTTAGGATTGGTTTTTGTGTCCCCGCCCCCCCAAAGACCAAAATGCTTGGAGTGGGAAGCAGAAGCTCTGGCAGGGAGAGGTGAACCTTGACACCCCTGCACAGGGTTCCCTCCCCAGCGAAGGGACCTCCCTCTGCCCAACTCTTGTCCGTTCTTTTCACGCCATTGAGCACAGTCTTAAGTGTGGTATCTTAGAAAGCATTCCCGGTTCAGGATAAACTCACTAGCCAGGATCTATGCTTTCTCTTTCTTCATCTCAGACCTTACTTATATCCCCGGTCTCTCTGTGTGATTTGGTCCTTGGCTTTCAGAAGAGGTTGTCACTGCTGCCTGTGATGTTTGCATCTCCAAATCTACACGTCTTGCACTTAGGGAATTTATGTGTGATCTTTTGCATCCAGGCTTTGTCTGCACCCCTGTAAGAGTTAACAAGTATGTGGAAAGAGAATGGACTTTGGAACTTAGAGGACCTGAGTTCCAATCCCAGCCTTACCATAACTGACACATAAATCTCAATGAAATATTCAAAGGCTGGCATAGCAATTAAAGGATATAAGGTGTCTAAATGTCTTTAGTGCCTTGAGTAATGTCTGAAACTCATAATAAATGTGTTCAGTCAGTGGTTCTCAAACTTGGGTGGATGTCAGAATCACCCAGAGAGCTTTTAAAAAGCCTGTTGTTCAGGTGACAGTCCCAGACCAATGAAATCAGACTCTCTGGGGGTGGGACCCAGGCATCTGTCTTTGAGAGCCCTCAGGTAATTCTGTGCTTGGTCGAGTTAGAGAACCAGGGTGAGTTCATTAGTGCCAGTGCTCTGGCTGCCACACAGATACCCCGGCCGGGCCACAGGTCTAGTCTCCTGCTCATCTGTGGATTAGGGCATGGTGTGTCCTGTACACACAAGCAGAGTCAAGAAGGCAGACAGCCTTCCGTGCCAGTCGCTTTTTATTGTGTCTTCATTTGTTCTACTGTATTTGTCATTCACTTTTTGTCTGGGTTTAAATCAGCAATTAATGATTCATGCAGATTCAAAAGGACACAAACAAGGAAAGCCCTGGGGGAGGTTTGGGCGTGGGGTGGGGTGTGTGGCATAGGAGGGAAAGAGGGCTGAGTGGAAGAGTGAGGCCCGGAATAGCAGAAGGAGCCACCAATGGGAAAACAAGGAAATGTGACATTTGTGCCTTTTGTTTCTTCTGGCTGCTCAAGAAATGTAAGGCTGCTTACTGGTCCTCCTGCTGTTTGCTCTCTGAGCCACCCTGTGGAGGGGAGCCCGGCCCCTGGCACCTGCGGGGGCTGTCATCCTCCAACCCCATCTTTATGTGTGAACAGGTGCTGTGGAGGAAAGTGAGCCTCAAGGTGGCCTAAAGGTGGCACGGTGGCAGAAGACCAGAAGCAGGTGAAAGCAGGAAGTTTTGGGACTGGGGACATGCACCTTCATCTTTGCCTGATTTTGAGCCCAAGGGGAAACCTCGTCTTTCCCATCACCTGGTGGCTGTCAGTGTGGCAGGGGAGGAGGAGGCCTGGCTACTACTTCGTTACCCTGAGAGAAGCAGAAGGTGTTTAGGGAGGGAACAAAACCCGTGCCGGGGGCTTATTTCCTGTCTGCCGTCTGGTGTGATGTGATTGATGTGTCAGCGTTTTTGCTGTGTAATGTGAATTAAAGTGTAGTATGAGTTCAAACAGCAGAGACTCCCAAGGTTTTCAGGCCATATGAGTCACATGCCTGGAATAAAATTGCGTTTGTAAAAAGTTGGATAAGGCTACGTACGCGCTCTGCAAAGTGAGACTGACACAGGTGCCAGCCTCCAGGAATGGTAATTCGAGTTAGAAAACCCTGTGACCATGTGTGGGGGGCGTGCACAGGCTAAAACTCAGAGGTGCAACTGCCCCTGGACATCATAGACCGGTGCTTCTCTGCTCCCTTCCTTTGCCAGTATCCGGGATTTGGGTGAGGTTCCCCTGTTTCTGTCTGTTGGGATACTGAGTCCCGTTTGTGTCTTTGTCTTACTGAAGCTACATGGCTTGGCTTTGTACCTGCCCTCTTGACCACTGTGTCTTGTTTCCTTCTGTTGTAACTCTCAGTGCCCACCTAATTTGGAAGTTTTTGGCTGCTTCCACAACCCTGTTCCAATCACAAAGTCCCTGAAGCCTGGGGAACCACGTGCATAGTAAAGTCTCCACTGCTGAGAACAGATGGAGCCAGAGGGGCAGAAGATTAGAGAGAGAGCAGGGGCTGGTGTGGATGCAGAATGAGTGTGACGAAGAGGGAGAGAGAGGGTTCTGGGGCTCTGTTTGTGCCTGGGAGCAGCCTGCATGAGCGACAGTGGCACGGGAAGAAGACAGCAGTGTGGTAGAGAGAACAAGATTTGTGTCTGAAAGAACAGGAAGGGACTAACTAGGAAAGAGAAATACAAACTTTAGACACATAAAGCATATTTCCATTTTGCGCAGCCACGAAGAGTTATACCTCCCATACCAGTGCTGATACGGCAAACACGATGGAATAGCTTAGAAAGTGTCAGCAAGGAAGCGTGTAGGAGATTGGGACGTCTCTGGATCAAGGCAGGAGAACCTGTAGATGGCTAATGATCGTTTGTGTTAACCTCCTGCAGGAGAGAGGTTCATTTGTGGTTTGGGAAGCCTCTTATTTGAGTAGGATAGGACTAAGGAAGTGATTACTTACTTCCCAGTTAGTTAGGGAAGAGTGCTCAGGCGAGAGGCCAGAGGGTGCTTCAGAAAGAGAGTGAAAGAAACTTTGATGTACTGATGTGTGTGACCTCAGAGGCAGGACTGGGGTGATCAAAGGCAGAAGAGAAGGAAGGGGTAGAGGAGAGAAGTGAGGCGAATGGAGCAGTCAGGAGAAGGGTTCTGAAGGAAGGGGATGAGGATCGTGATTTGTGGATGAACAAGTATCATTGTCCTAACAGTGGTCTCAGAGGCAGTGCAGTTCCCTTTCCTGGGGACCATTTGGCAAAAGTGTGGAGAAGGGAATTCTTGTTACAGGGACTCCCCCAACTAGGATGCCTTTAACTATGAGAATCATAGAGCTGCTTCTGGGCACCCAGGGCTACGTTAAGATGATCCAATCTCCCACATTTTATATTTCAGCAGGACTACTGTTGCTCGCTGGGTGAGGTGGTTCATGCCTGTAATCTCCGGACTCTGGGAGGCTGAGGCAGGTGGATTGCCTGAACTCCCAGGTTTGAGACCAGCCTGAGCAAGAGAGAGACCCTGTCTCTAAAAATAGCCAGGCGTTGTGGTGAGCGCATGTAGTCTGGCTACTTGGGAGGCGAGGCAAAGGGATCTCAACTGTCTCAAAAAACAAACAAACAAACAACCCCCCCAAACCTACTATTATTGCTGTAATAGTAGTAATACCAACTCTCCTAACTCTAGCCCTGAGATCATTCAGTCTTCAAAACAACGTGGTAAGATAGATGATGTGTATTATCACCTTTTAAAAGATGGGGATGTTAAGGTTTAGGGAGGTTAAGTAACTTGCCTGTGGTAGGATGCTGACCTGGTTGATGTGAGGCTCCACAGTGTCAGGGCCACAGGCCCCATCTAGCTTGTTCTGTGTGCCCGCGCTCCATTCACAGGGTCATTTTATGGTCCAAGATGGCTGTTTAGCCCCAACCATCAACAGGAAGAAAAAGGCTGGAGAAGGGCAGGCCCTCTTGTTTTAAGGATGTTTCCCGGAGGTTACGCACGTCACTTCCTCCGATCTTCCCAGTGGCTAGGACTTGACCGTGCGCTGCGGAGAGGCTGGGGGTATTACTCTTATTTTGGTGCGTATGTGCCTTGCTTGAGGTTCTGTTACTGTAGGGAAAGGAGAAACCAGGTTAGGGTATGGGAACTACTGATCTCTGTCATTGTCACAGAGCTTGTCTGTGGCAGAGCAGGGTTTTGAAGCCAGGACCATTTGGTTCAGAGTCATATGTTTTTTCATCTAACAAGTCCCCTCTGGGAGTCTGAGGCCCAGCCTCTGGCCTTTAAAAAGGCTCATTAGGAAGGAGGGAGCTAGAGGAACCAGCAGTTGTTTTGTAGGAAGCAACTGAAATCAGCGTGTAATTAAACATTCTATGTTGTGATTGTATCAGTGAGTACTGTAACGTTTAGACAGTGTTTATGTTGGTTCACTGCTGATTACTTTACCCAGCATAACTTTCTGTGTACAGTGCTTAAAATCTGTCTCTATTGCTGGAGCTTGGGATGGGGCCTTGTGCCTGACACAAACTAAGCAGCTGTTCAGTTAATTTTTTGATGAGTGAATGATTTCACAAGGCAGGTCTTGTTTCTGTATTGACTTCTTTGTTTTGAATTCCTGGGCTCAAGTGATCCGCTTGCCTCAGCCTCCCAAGTAGCTAGGACTACAGGTGCCTGCCACAATCACAATGGCCTGCTTTTGAGACAGGGTCTCACTC